GGGCTGTTGTTTCGGCTGCTTCAGTGCCTCGTTTTCCGCTGCGAGAGCCGTGCAAACGCATGGACACCCCTCGGATTATTCAGAGATGAGTCACGGTGGCCTCCACAACAGGAGCGATCTCATTCCGTCGCCTGGTGCGGTTTGGGCCCTTGTGATTGTGTCCCCCCCCCTTAATGCAGATCTTGAACCAACCAATCAGATATCCAATAGTCAACCCGTCACTCCCTTATGTTGACACGGACAAGTCGCAAGCACGTAAACGAAACACCGTCACAGCAAGCAGCCAAACCGCGGCAACCTGCCCCGTCCATGGAATAGAGGGACCCTCACAGCTCACTGACCGCCACACACACTAGTTGCTTTCGGCGACAAAGTTCCAATTATATTGTTCCCTAGTTTGCCTTTAATACTCGCAGCGTGTCCAAGAAGAGAAGAGCTATTGGGATTCTACATGTCGTTGTAGTAAGGGAGCTAGGCCCAACCGAATCTTAGAGCACGGATAACATCTGAGATGAAATCAATGAAGCCATCATCATAATTATGAATAGAACCCAATACGTGTATCTATCTCAGTCGCGACCTTAAGTTTCCATCGAATAACATGCCCTGTGACTCCACGTCCGATTCCACCGTCAGCTACCACATACGCGGTTACATTATCATTAAAATCATGATGAGTAATCGACAGCGTGCATTTGCTGACTTTAAATTCCTCAAGACTTACGTAGCTGACACTGCAGAACGCTTTTTATCTAGTTGGCGGGAGCGTGTGGATGTCTGGTTGGTCGCTCCATCGTGTAGGTAGCACCATGTGACTTACGTAGGTGGTGGCTACTTTTCACGTCTCACAGCTGGCACTAATTTCCCATCCTTGGCAGTCCGAAGCCAGCACCTGTCTAGCCGTCACACCCTCGTAAGCATCTCGGAAAACGGGCTAAACCAGATGAAAGTATGCGGTGCTATGTGCATACCTAAATCCGATAATTCCATTCATCGGCCCCCTTCCCTCCGCCGCGTTCAAAAGTCTTACCGAGAGGGTGACAAACAATCCTGTCAGTGGAACAGGCTGTGGATTTCGACAACTTTGTGGAAGGCCTAAGCAGCCCTACAGTACGGCGTGTCTCCGTGTAGAGATAGAGGCTAAAATGTTGTCTTAACAGAATACTGGGATCAAGTCACCTACAAGTGTACCAGAAACAAAACTCGCGGTCAAAACAAAACAATTAAAATCTTCAACTACTGTCCCCATCCCCTCTGCTACATCCCATTCCACTCGGCTGAGTCCGCGCACTCTCATGGCCTAGACTGTTCTTTCTTTTTTAATCCCCATTTGTATGAAATCCTGGTGTGTTGTGTTGGACCAGGTCATGTGCTTGGCACGCGAACACGGACTATTAGTTCTGTCAGCCGCCTCTCCAAATCTCAGGTTCAGTCGCTTGACCGGCTTGACAAATCGATTAATGCACAGAGAAGGGAGAGTGAGGTCGACTCTCAGCACATTGTCCTCCATTCAAACCATCCGATGCACCTAATACGGTGCGTTCAAAGCCGTGTTTTAAAAGGTTGCCAGCTGACGATTTAACCAAGACCTCGCAGTCAGTCGAGTGCCTGTTTGTGCGAGATAGTGAATTGGTTGGCTGAGAGCCGGACTGCGATGATTCCTTCGTGATGCGGCCCCCGTGGAACTCTCGCACATGCAGAATCCGAGGTGCTCTCTGTGTGTGAACAAATGAATGTTTTGGTGTGGACTTTTCAAATTGAGCCGCCCTTTTTGTCCTCCCTCCATTTGCATGTAAATGTTTTTCATATATACGTAAGTTAGCCTATTTTGCCCTTTATAAGCCGATTCCTATCCCTCTTTATTTACTTGAACTACAATGAGGGCATCAGCGCACGACGTTAGTACCATTTTGCAAGCAGTCCAATTTGGCCTATATTTGACGAATTTTCCAAGGACATTTATCCACGATATCGACGATTGCAGTCATTGACGAGTATGGATTGTTTTTTAGTTCCCGGTGTTGTAGTTTTTTTGCATCTTATTTGCTTCATTGTGAATAGAAGGCGCTTTTGCTGAACATTTTAGCATGATAT